AGCCATATCCCTTTATAGCCATATCCCTTTATAGCCATATCCCTTTATAGCCATATCCCTTTATAGCCATATCCCTTTATAGCCATATCCCTTTATAGCCATATCCCTTATACAGTTCCCGCTTATAGCCTACTTCCGCGTATGGTTCTACTCCCGTATACCCATACTGCCTTGTTGCCTTAGCCCTTATTGCCTTACTTCATTATAGCCTTACCGCCTTACAGGCTTACCCTGTATAGCCTTACTCCCTTACAGGCTTACTTCTTATAGCTTTATTCGACCTTTAACCTTTGACCCGGCACCGACACACACACAGACAGACGCTGAGCATTATATATACGGATTATATTTAATATCGTTCTTCTTATTGATTCTCATTCAAACATTATCATCTACAAATGCATCATTGAGAGCAACATGAAAGATGGGAGCTGTTTTTTCTCTTCATTTTATTCGAATTGTTTTGCTTCGATTGTTGTTCAAGAATTTTCCCGAAAGTCATGCCTCAGAGCAAAGACTGTGGCAATAGTATTATACATTAGAATTTTGTTCATGAAATATAAAATAAATGATATTTTTCAAGAACAAAAGGATTAAGAGAATATCTCATTTTTTCACACAACCTGGTAGCCATTGAATGAGCCCATTACCATGACAGTGGCTCTAGTGCAGAGTCAACTTCAAATAATGGTTTTAATTCCAATGAGACAGTCTTCAAATAATTCTACTTCGAAAAGTCGACTTTTCCAGTATTTATTGTAAGATGCACCAAGTTCACATTCTATGCGTTCTAGGAATATCCACAGCAACTCGTTTAAGCACCAACAAAGGAGATATATAAGTGATAGAAAATATAAGAGATAAAATTAGTACGACGTTGGAAAAAGACTGACAAGAAAACAACACACCAACACGGAACCTCTTAATCTCCAATATGTCCTATGATAGTACTTAATCAAGTTTCCCGAAAATTCTGAAACTGCATGATATTCCATTTCAAAATATTACAAACAATTTGTATTCGCCTTTCTCGTATATAATTTGACAGGGTGTATTGAATGATTTCTAAAAGATATGTCTACGAAATTTCTAAAAAGAGAATTTTATAAACAGTTTCGAAAGATTTCAAATTTCAGATTATTTCATACAAAAATGTCACTCCTTCATATAATCTTGAATATAATAAATTTTTCATTCTGTACAACTGTAGACATGTTTTTTTACCTTTTCTCGAAACATAATTGATTAGAAAAAAAGAATTGTTTGTGTTGTTGGATAATTACGTCATTTTTAAATCTTAGCTATTCCTAAGAAACTTTGTCACTAGGATTCCCGAAAAATATCAACTTTTTCGGATTAAAATATTTCCCAACTTCTCTAATACAATTCTAAACATTCCGCCTCGTTGAAACAAATATGTTAAGCATCCTTTTTACTTTGATTTGAATCTTTACTAGGAAGGATTTTTTTCAATCGCAGGGTATTGATGTGGGTTTAAGTCCTGAGTTCATCTGCACAAGCATTCACACCCACACTCACAACCATCCATTGAATAGCATCTTCACCACATTCCTAATCAGTAAGTTGAAAACACTCCAGTACAAGCAACACACTACCTTGAATTCATATGCCCATTGCATACCCACAGAAAAAGGCAAATGTTAGAAGCGATGGGTGCAGATACCACCGTCTATAAATAGAGAAGACAAAAGAATACTACTGTATCTAACTAGATACAAAGAACGGTTGGCTTCCGAAGGCTATAAGACAATGCGAAATAAATATTATTATTTATTACTATCATTGCATCTTATCATATTTATTAATTTATCAATTCATAAGATCAAGAATCTAATTAGTTGCTGTTCAGTCCTAGAAAATAGCTTTTAAGCGTAAAAGTATTCTTGAACAAATCTTGAAATAACCATTATGTAAACATGTACAAAAAATGAATTTCAAGAAACATTTTTCTCGACAAGTGTTACTAATGGATCTCGCAACTTCAATTCAAATTTGTCTTCATCACAATAGTGATTGGTTCGAACAGACCATTTGCCTTCAAATTGACCGTTACGCACATTAAATGTCAATTCCAAAATTACTGTATGCCCGAAGTTTTCTGTGCGATCTCCAGTACCTGATTCATAAACTTTAGTCAGTGACATTCGTTGGTTTGCCACAGAAAATGTTCCATCAATAGTAAACAAGCCGACACCATCATATCCGTGTCCAGCCACTTTGTTTGTGGCACGATCGAACATTAGTGACAACTGATGAGGACCATGCCACCTACCATATTGATGATATCGACTCTGCCAGTCCCCATCTTTGAAATAATCTTCAGCATTCGTGGAATAGATTCTACTGGGTCCATCTGTAGTTGTTGTATAAACAACATCTGTATTTGAATCTACAGAGCGACGTCGAAACCGACCATAACAAAAGAGAGTGAGGAAGAAGATCGCAACAAGTGCAAATATTCCACCAACCACACTGCCTGCAATGATTCCTGCTGTTCGACAAGATGACCCTTGACAGCTATTTCCACTGCGTGTACCACCTACGATCGATATCATTTAGAAGAAAATTCATTATTGCAGTGTAATGATTACCTCTATAGGTGCTTCCACCTCTGATACTGCCACCCCTACTTCCACCGCGAGCACCTTGGCTTTGAACAAGCACGGCAACAAGCGTAGCCACCAACAGAAGGCGAAATATAATGTACATCGTGATATAAAGTAGGTAGTCAAAGTTTTTTAATATATGTATCGTTTTTTTCCAAATATTGATACGCGTGCTCTCGAAAGTCTAAAAGCTTAACGGAATGAAAAAAAATGAAATTGAAATACTGTATACACAAAAGAGTCACTCCCTTATCAGAGAGAAAGAGAGAATGAAACAGCAGATAAGTGATAAATCTTTATTACGTCTTTCTGTCGTTTTCAACTAACAACATGAGATACTGTGTATAGACACAATTAAATATTGTCTCTTCTGAAAAGATCAACAGCTCGTCTGATGGGCATGGTATTGTTTCGTGCTGAGAACAGTACTGTCTGTCATTGTCACAACATTGCGAATTTCTTATCAACTCGATAGACTATTAACGTCACTGAAGAACAGATAACAGTCACGTTTACAAGCATATGTATATTTATTGGAAGTAATACTCTATAGCAGGCAGGTGTGGGTGTGGGTGTGTTGCGATTGTGAATGTTGATGAAGAGAACAAGAAGGTCTACATCCGCACCCTGATGGATAGGAATCATTAGCGGCTTTCCAATTTCGTAGGGCGAACTTTAGAATTTGTTTTTCTTTTCAAGCACCGAACTATCAAGTGTTTTTCTTTCTAGTATTGTGTATCGAACTGTTCAACCTTCTCTTTGTGATCTGCAAATTAGCCATGGTTCTAATAACTCGGCGCTCTCAGCGATGCTGTTTCCATTCAAACGAAAGTTGACTTAATGACAGTAGTGAACTGTCTCCTGACGGTGTGGGTATATAAAAAAGGATAACTACACCCACATGCTCACCCGTAGTATTTTCCCATTGGACGTTCAGGATTTTCCCATATTTTGTTTTTTAAAGAACTGAATTATGAAAAAGCAAAAGAAAAAAAAAGCAGATCAATCAATAATATGTTATTTTATGTGCATATATCCATTAACAGTATTTTCTCTTTTTTCTGTACTTTCTTTTTTATTCATTCTTTTTATCAATATAATGATGAATACTTTCACTAAAAGAAGATAACTAGCAACAGTTTCATGACATATAAAACCAAAAAAAGATTTCTACTGTTAATCGCTATTATACTTTTAGTTTTATTCAGTTTGAGAGTTATAAGTGTATAAGTTGGCATTTATTTTTTTAGTATATTTAGATAATCAAATAACTTACACAAGGAAAATTGTCTTTTTTAATACAAGTTTGGATATGTCAACATCTAAGCAGTCATCTATTTTTGCAAAAGAAATTGATTGGAAATTAACACATAATATTCTTCGTGTTAAAGATTCAAGTGAACTAATAAAATTTTATGTGAATAATTTTGGAATGAAAAGAGTCAAAATCTATACACCATCGCTCCCATATAATGTTGATGTTTTAGGATATACACACATTTTTGATGAAAATTTTAACAAAGCTTCATATGCATTGCCTTCGTCGACATTACTTGAATTGCATCACAACGATCCATCAATGAATACTCCATCACTTGTCAATAGTGGCCCATCAAAAATTTATTGGAAGCTTGGTATAACATTATATGATGCTAATTATGTGTGAAAAATTTTACAATCTAAACAAGTGAAAACAACTGATGCGTCACAATTTGAAGATATCGGTTATGTATGTCACTTGAAAGATTTCAATGATTTTTGTATAGAATTGTTGCAGCATGATTTTGACAAGACATTTAAAGCTAAAATGAACAAAAGTGGTAAACAGCCACCACAAGATAAGTTTTAATTGGGATATCCAAGCTGTATTGGTCAAGTAACGTTACACGCAAGTGATATGGATAAAACTCAAAGATTCTGTCAAGATCTATTGGGTATGAAATTACTATCGGTACAAGAAATGTCACGATTCGGTTTCACACTATATTTTTTTGCCTGGACGAATGAAGATCCACCAAAATCCGATATCAAAGACGCTACCATTAATCGTGAATAGTTGTCGAAACGTTCATATACAACCATCAAAATAAGTCATTTTAATAGTCCAAGACAAATACCACCTTTTAGAGATTTACAACAAAATGAAATTGGTTTTGAAGGCATAAGAGTTACTATATATAATGACTTGAACCAGTTCATAGCCAAGATGACAGGCGAAAATATAAGTTTTAATGAATCCAATGGAACATATGCCAGAGAAATTGTGATTCGTGATCCAGAAATCGTACCAATCTTTGTTTCACAAAACAAAAGCGGACAATAGACTCTATCCTTTTTTAACATTCAATAATTATTTTTGATTGGGTTTGGGTATGGGTGTGAGTAAAATAAATAGCATACCGAGAGTCAGAGTCAGACTCCCACCCGACACCCGCACCTACATCGCGCATTCGCTCCTACGCTCAGCCCACACTGTAAAAAAAAAGGTATTTTCTGGAACCTCAAAAAAAGGTTCGGTAGATGACAAAAAGTTTGCAAATGTGTTGAAAGTTTCAAAAAACGAATAAAAAGAACCCGGAACCTTTAAAGGATCTTACCGTGTACCCAAGTGAAGATCCTTTTTTCTTCGAAACCTTTTTAAGTTCCGTACACCAAAAAAAAGGTTTTGTAGGAAAGTACGAAACCTTTAAAG